TTTGCATAGTGCATCCTAGGTATCTTGTGTAGACATAGATTTTAAGAATGTAGTAGCCTAAAATAATATGTTTATATTAATAACATGTAAAATATTTTTATTATTAATTTATATAACATTAATAATAACTTTATAGTTAAAGTAAGTATTATCTTTAATTATAAACTTAAATTTTTATAAAGCCTAGTTATATAATTAGTAAAAGTAGTAAAACTTTTTAATCTCTTCTAGCACTGCAGCATTAATGTTGTAGCTAGCGCTAGTTAGCATTTTCTAGAGTTTTTTTATATAGAATTGTCTAAATTAGTAGTAAAAGCAGTAAAGTTCTAATTTAGTAAAGAAAGACATAAATTCTTTTTTACTAATATTAAAAAAAAAGTGTTCTTATTTTTATATAATAAGTATAGTAGTTTTGTTTTTATGTATAATAATATTTAAAATGTTGTAAAAGTATGCCTTAAGTTAGTTAGCATTTACTAGTAATAGTAAAAATAGTGTTAAAGTCTTTAAAATATAGTATGTAACTAGACTAATTAGGTTCTAGATTTATATAGTACTAATTAATCTTTTTAGTGTCTAGCTTTTAATGCTAATATCTATTTAGCTAAGTGTTTAATTAATTTTTATACATAAGTTCTTTTATATATACACCTTAAGTTAAGACTTACTAATAGTAGAGATTTTTACTACGCCTATGTCTTATAGTTTGCCTTAGTATACTATATAGTATTAGTTATTAAGAATAAACTGCTTAGCATATTCTTTAGGTTTAATAATATAGATGTTCTTTTCTGTTACATAGTGTAAATAGGCAGTAGAGGTAAAGTAGTTAATAGCTTTCTTAGCATTTTTACTCTTTTATTTTATTTTCTTTACATTATGCAAATTATTTTTTTTCTTAAGGTAACCTTTAAAGTTTTAAATATATAAAGTAATAGCTTTATATAATAAAGTCTTATTATAAAAATCTTTATATAAGGTAATATACTAGTTTTTTACTTATATATAGTTATTATAAGAGTAGTTTAATAACTAACATCTTTTTTTATAGTAGATAAAGCACTTCTTTATCTATATATAGTTGTCTTTAGATTATAGCCTAAACCTAAATAAAAATCTTCTATATTATCTTCTTCTACGCAGAGGGAAGCTTTTTTCTTATTATGTAGACTCTTATTATGCAGAGTTGTATTAGCAGTCTATGTAGTATACATTAGGCAGTTTCTAGAGGTATTAGTTTACTCTTTAGTCTATAGTAACTTAGAGTAATGCCTATAAGTTACTAAATAAGGCTTTATATAAAAGCTTAATAGTAAACATAGCATGTTCTAGTTCTAGTTATTCTTAATAGGCTTATATAATAGTAGTGTGCAGTAGAACATTTTCTTAGAATTTTATTTTTAGTGCCTTTTATATAAGTATAAGCTTATTTATTATTACTTTAAAAACTTTATATAAACTTTTATTAGAGTTTTTTATTAGCATTATGTAAAAGTTATTATTATCTAGTTTATCTAGTACTAGCTATAGTTTACATTAGTGTTAAAGTAACTGCTTAAAGTGTTGTATAAATGCTTTTAGTTATGTCTAAAGCCTATGTTGTGCATATAGTACATATTTGCCTAACCTTTTAGGATATTTAGAAAAATGTCTATATACTAAGTTTCCTAGATATCTAGCTATTAACATAAATTAATAAAAAATTTTATTTTATTTATAAAAATGTTGTATAGTTAACTTATGTAGTTATTATTCTTTTTTTATACTTTTTAAAATTATATAATTTTATTTACTAAAAGTTTTTCTTTAGCAGTTTCCCTTTAGAGTAGAAGTTTATATAGGTTGTAATGTAGTATAGATTATGCAGGTGGTATTAGTAGTGCATACACTACTGCAGGCAGTGGTGTGTATGATTAAGGGTGTAGAGCAGGCGTTAGGTAGGGTAGCATGTATTGTTTGTACAGTAATTAGTGTAGTGCTAGCTAAAGTGTAGGAGCAGGTAATACTAGTATATTTAGTGTTAATAGCAGCATTATGTTTAGTCTGCTTCTATATAGAGCCTTATATAGTAATAAAAGTTATGTATAAAGCCTTTTTAGTGCAATTACTTTTCTTTATGCTATATTATATAGCTTCTAGGCTTAGGTACCTTTAGTGCCTAGCTATAGTGTAATTCTTTTATTCTTTAGCACTTATATAAGCTCTCTTTTAAATGTGTAGCTAAGTGCTAAGAAGTCTTATAATGTCTATTTTTTAAAATCCTTTATATATAAACTTAAAAGAGTAGCGCCTTTTTAAGTTGTTATGCGTAGATTAGTAATTATATAACTTATATATAATTAAGTTTATAAGCTTATTAAAGCTTTTAACATGTTAATTTTATTATTCTAGTACTTTAGGCTAGTCTTATTTTATAGTGTTGCCTCTAATATCTCTGTGTCCTTTATAAGTTATTTATATAATAAAAATTATTTCTTATTTTTTCTATTATTACATAAAGTTGTTAGTTGCTAATAAAATTTTATTATAATAGTATAGTTAATTACTTTTCTAGTAGATTACGCAGGTACTGCTATTGTCTAGCTGCTAGGCTATGCAGCTTTAATAGCTTTAGTGTGCGCCTTGCACTATCTCCTTCTTACTTTGTACAGTAGCAGAGCTTGCTGTATAATGCAAAGGATTAATCTGCTATTGTCTAGCTGCTAAGTTGTGCAGCTTTAATAGCTTTAGTGTGCGTCTTACACTATCTTCTTTTTACTCTATATAGTAGCAGAGCTTACTATATAATGCAAAGAATTAATCTGCTATCCTAAAAAATAAGTAACTAAATAAAGTACTTTATAAGGTGTAGGTGCTTTATTGTTACTTTTTTTAAAAGATAAGTAATAAAATAAAGTACTTTATAGAGTGTAGGTACTCTGTTATTACTCTTACTAATTTACAGTTAATTAAATTAACTACTAATTAGTGTTAAATAGGCTCTAATAGCTAGCTGCTTATAGTATAAGCACTTAAGTAGCAAAAGTAAGAGTGGTGTACAGTGTGCACAGCATATAAGGTAAGTAAGGTAAGGGCAATATGTTTCTAGTTCTATTACTCTTTTCTTTCCTCTGTATAAAGAAAAAGGGGGATATCTAAATGTTTATGCACAGAGGTTCGCGCACAAGCATCATGTGACATAGATACGTGGTCCTGCTCGTGCGCGATCGCTTGTATCTAGATCGTGACGCTGCTGCTGCGTACAGACATCTATATAATTAATGCTACAGCAGAGAATGCTGCATAACAGTATATTATATAAAGGGCTAGAGAAGCATATATTACCTTAGTGTGTTAACTAGAGGTAGCATTTAATTTCTTAGTTACTGCCTAAACTATAGACCCTTTGCATAAAGACATTAACGCCCTTAACATATACATCTAGTAGTAAATAGATAACAGTAGCAAAACACTTACCTTTATACTACTATAACTAGACTGCACAAAGCTATTTATTTTTATAAATAAAATATTTACTAATAATAAGAACCTTAGCTTATAGCTAAGATTTATAATTATACTAAGTAATTAAAACTATATAGAATAAAGTAATTACTTTAAAATACTAGATAATATTATACACTAGAATTCTACTAAGTATAAAAAAGTAACTAGGAGTGTTTTTACTAGTAAACTAACGTACCTAACGGGTTGGCCGGCCACACGGGTTGGCCGGCCACTTTTGCTAAGCCCCTACTAAACTCTACCTATCTACATAATGCCTTAACAACAACACTAGATTAAATCTTCTAAAGAATGTTAGATACAGCTTACTTTTTAGGCTTTTAAATAAGACTTAAAACTCTTCTTATAACGCGCTGCAGCTATCTATAATGTCTCTTACACAACACTAAGTAATTAACGCGCTAGACAGCCTTTATAAGCAGAATGCTAGCCTAAATTAAGGAATCTAACTAAGCTTAAAAAGAAGGTAGTTGTTAAGTACATACTTAAGCTTATTACACATAGATTTCCCCCTAGGCTTGCAGCTATAGCTAATATAGCTAATTCCTTGCCCGCAGAGCGCAATCTAGGCTAGGTTAGCTTAAACTAGACTAGTATGTAGGTTAAGCACTGCCCTAAGTTTATAATAAAGTTTAATTATAAGTATAATTATAAGAGAGTGCTTTGTGAGGATCTAGAGGTTATCTAGGGCTAGTTTTGCCTAGTAGCTAACATAAAAGCTAAGTACAGTATCTAGAATAAAGACAGGTATAACTTTAACAAGTTAGGCTTTATAATAGGCTAGATATTAACTAGAGCAGTTATTACAGCTTTAGAAAGATAAAGACAGCTAAAGGCAATATAGTAAAGTAATAAAAAGTAGATAATAGTTATTTAGGGCATTAATGTAACAAGGTAGGCTATAAAATTATAAAGCTTTAAGTAGTAAATAAAGCTGCTACGCAACATAGATTACATAAAAGAAAGCAGATTTAGGCAAAAAAGACCTTAATAGTTAAGGATAAAGCTTATCTAACTGCTCTAAAGAAGTTTAGAGCGCGTAGTAATAGGAAGAAGCTAAAGACACAGGTGCGCGCTAAAGAAGGTAAGCTAAGTTAAAGGTAATGTAGGTAGTGTAATTAAACTAGGCATAACTTGCGTATGTGTAAGTAAGTAGTAGAAGTAGACTCTAAATAATATCTTGTGTTGTATTACTCTATATAGGGCTAAAGTAGGCTGTTTTGCGAGAGAATAGGGTGGTTTTAGTAGGGGCTTAGCAAAAGTGGCCGGCCAACCTGTGTGGCCGGCCAACCCGTTAGGTACGTTATATAAAATAGTAAGAAAGTTTAATAATATAATTACTCTTAGTACAACTTTATAGTTAATTATATAAACGCTTAAACTACTACTAATTCTAGTAGTAATCTACATAGATTTAAGGTTTCTATATAATTACCTTATTAAGCTAAGCACTACTAGTAAAAAGTGTAACGGCGCAGGCAAGACAATGGGTCCGAATGCGGTATGAATCCACTCAGAGGCATATGGGAGTGCGTGGGGACTCAGAGACCTGGGAATACCAATGACACCTATAGGCCTTGTACGTAGGATATCAGAAAACTACCGAGCTAGCTACAGGGGCGAGGTGCGACTAAATACATGAGGGAATAGGGGTACAGCAGGGGGCAGGGCATAGTCGGGGCCAGGTCGAGGTCGGGGCCGATACGGGGGCCTTCCGGAGGTTCCGGGCGACCTGACGATTCATGAGAATCGAGTCAGGGTCGGAGCCGATACGGGGACCCTTCAGATAGGTTCCGGGCGACCCGAGATGGAACGAGAATCGTTACAAAAAGTAACTTACAATTAACATTATGTTACTCTGTAAATTATATAAGAAAAGAAAAATTACTAAAATTAAGTAAATTAATAGTAAAAATAACTTAGTAAATGCATGTATAAAGAAAACACTAAATTAGGCTTTTTAATTATTAGTTCTAACTAACTACCTCTCTGTCTAGATAGAATTATCTGTAGACTAGCTAGATCTTGTGCGCAAAGATGCTTTAAACTAACTAGACTAATAACACCTTTATATAAGGCTTATTTTTTCTTATTTTTCTTATTTTTTTTATATTATACGCACTTATTTTTCTTATTATAAGAATTTATTACTGCTAGCACTGTATAAAAAACAAAGAGTTAGGGGATTATACAGCAAGGTTTAGAAAGTAAAGAATAAAGAAGAGAAAAGCTATTTACATAGCACAACTAGCCTATTCTAATGTATAGCATTACTAGGGCAAGTCCTAATAAATAAGGTAGAGTATAGGCAGAACATAATTAGATACACCTACATAAATAGAAGAGAGGTAACGCGTACAGAAAGTAACTTTTTAGATAAAAAAAAAGTTACTAGTGTTTATACATAGCAGCAGTGTTATAGTTTAGATACTAGCTATTACACATAAGTAGGATTATGTATCTTTGTTATATAATGCTTATGTGTAAACCTTTGTGCGTAAACATCTAGATATCCCCTTTTTCCTCTGTATAAAGGAAAGATAAGAGCAATAGAACTAGAAACATGTTGCCCTTACCTTACCTACCTTGTACGCTGTGCACACTGTACACTACTCTTGCTCTTGCTACTTAAGTGCTTATACCATAAGCAGCTAGCTAACAGAGCCTATTCAACAATTAACAACATTAACTAAACTATACAAGTAAAGTAAGTAAACACTTGTTACTATAAATAATAAATTTACTATATTTGTTGAATAGGCTCTATGCTAGCTATACAAAGCAAAGAGGTTTGCACGGTGTGTCACGATTGTGCACGAGTAAGGTTATAGAGCTTCACAGAGGTCTAGTTCAATTACTACGTGAGGTATTATAGTAGGTACAAGACATTATGTAAGGAACAAAAAGGTTTAGAAGGAAATTAGTAATTAAATACTTAGCTTAGAAGTCTAAGCGCTTTAGGTATAAATTAAGCCTATTCTAGGTTTAGTTAGTGTTAAGGTAGTTTATGCTTAAGTTTATGTCTATGTTATGTTATATTTATGTTAGACATGCACTAATAATACTCTAGTACACGTCTAATATAGTTATGTCTAGGATCTAGGGAGGATACTGTAACAGTACTCCCCCTCTTATTAGAAAGGGAATTCTTTATATTAGTAGTTCTAGCATTAAGTTGTCTTTATTAGGGTATAAGTTTAGTTTAGATAGGTATTAGGCGTAGAACTAAGTTACTATAGAGTTCTTTTATAGGGCTTCTGCAGGTTCCTACAACAGTTTATTATATCTAGTCTATTTTATAAAGTATTTGTAGATACATTTTTTTTTATTAAACTAGATTTATTTAACATCTTCTATAATATATTTTAGTTTATTATTTATAATAATAGGTTTAGGTGGCAGGTTTAGCTGTCTAGGTAGATAGTTAGATTTAGAGGCTACTTAGCGCAGTAATAATATGTGGAACACAGGGTGTATCTTTATGCTGTTAGGTAGGATTAATTAGTAAGCATGTAATAAGACTATATAGGCTACTGTAAAGAGGCTAAGGTTCTTTTAATTAAGTTTTTTTAATTATTAGTTTATTTAGATATTTCTAGCGTCTAGCTAGACTTTCTTGCTAGCTGTATACACAGGGGTGGGAGTTTAAAATTAGTTTACGTACTCTTGTTAAAAAGCTTAAGCCTATGTAAGCTTTTTATAAACATATTTAAATATATTTTAGATCTTATTAATAAGTCTATTTGCATTTATTACTTATATAAATTAATAAGTTAGTTAGGGGGTATTTAAAAGTAGTTTAAATTTTATTTAGAGGTAGTATCTATAGTTTACTAAAAATAGAGATACTTACATTAATTTAGATGTTATGTTATTAGCTTTAAACTATGCTATAGCTAACTATTTTACCTAGTTGTCTTATTAGTAGTTTGTGTACGCTTGTAGGACTTATTCTATTACAGTGTTTATGTTCTTAGTCTAGCTGTTAGTCTCTAGGTAAAAAGCTGTAGATAGATAGGGGACAATTTAGAGCTGTTTATAGAGTTTATTCTAAAAAGCTAAGACAAACTATGTACCTCTGTCTAATATAATTATGTTAGGCAGGCTATAGTAAACTTATACATATTAGTAGAATAACTAGGCTATATTAAGGGCAGTTATAGAGGAACATAGTATTAAGTGTTAATACTTAGTTAAGTAATTAACAACTACTATAATATTTATATACTTTTTAGATAGAGGTAGGTTTATAATAAAATTAATTAATATGTCTTTTTAAGCTTATTTAGAGATTAAGAGTAGTTTAAGTAGGCTATTATACCTTTTTTAAAAGGCTTTTACTTTACAGCAAGTATAGCAACATAATATGTATTAGCGTATAGTATAGAACATGCGGGGCTAGTAGTACTCTCTCTATAGTAGGTTAAAAGTCTTTCCTCTGCCTAGGTGTCTTTTAACAGGTAAGTTGTGTATAATTTAAAGTAGTTTAATTCTTAGTTTATTAAAATTAAAGATTATAAGTTAGTTATAGTAATACAGCTTACTATTTTAGTTTTTATAGTTAGCTAGTGTTACCTTCTTTAACTAACTAGCGCTGTTTTAAAGCAGGTCTAAGGTTTCTTAGATAAATTTATTATTTAAATACTTATTAGTAATAATTTAATTAATTATCTAATTTATTTTATTTAAGTTAAGGTCTAAAAATAGCTTAAGTTAAAGCAAAGTTTAGTATTAAGCCTTTTATGCTTTTTTCTAAGTAGGGATGTTTTAGAATTGCCTTATAAGAGCATCTAGTTTCTCTTTATCTTAACTAGGATAATAAGTAATCTTAAAATTAAAATAAGATAAGTATTTAGACTAATAAGCTTATTAGTAGCTAAGTTATTTTATAGTTACAAAGTACTATAAGTTCTTATAGTTAGATAGAACCTATATTAGATGTGCTGCACCTTTTAGTTTAGGTTGCTATTATTTAAAGTAGTGTACTATAGTAAGTAATTCTTTGTTATAGATTTTATAATTACTTTCTATAGAACTTATTCTTTTTAAGAAGTATGTAATAGGCCTAATAGTCCTATCTAGCTTAGTCTAGAAGAGAACTCTTGCTACTATGTAGTCTAAGGCATTAGCTTCTATAAGTATTAGTAGTTTAAAGTTAAAGTAGCAGAGTATTAGGGCTTTAGTAAAGGCTTTCTTTAGCTAGTTAAAGGACTATTAGTAATTTAAGTTAAAGTTAAATTAAACCTTTTTCTTAGTAAGTGTAATTATAAGGCTTACTAGCTATAAAAAGTTGTTAATAAATTATTAGTAAAAGTTAGTAAATTTTATAAAGGCTTAAACATTCTTTATGTTTTTTAGGTATTACTAATCTAGCACAGTCTAAACCTTAACAGGGTCTATTTAGATGCTATCTGTAGAGATTATATATCCTAAATATGTAACCTTTAATTAGTAGAACTTACATTTGTCTATGTTAAGTTACAGACCTACTTCTTCTATAGCCTTTAGCACTAGGCGTACATGCTGTTTGTGCTCTAAAAGGCTATTACTATAGATTAGAATATTATTAATATACATAGTGCAAAACATGTCTAGGTAGGGTTAGAGCAAGTTGTTTATAAAATGTTAAAAAGTACTAGGCGCGTTAGCTAAGCTAAAGAGCATTACTAGGTACTTAAATAGTCTATATTAGGTCTAAAACACTATTAGCTACTTATTACCTTTTACTATCTTTAGCTTATTAAAGGCAGTAATAATATCTAACTTTATAAAATACTTTGCTTTACTTAGTTAGCTTAGAGTTTCCTGTAAAAAAGAAATTAAGTATTAGTTTTTAATAGTAATAGTGTTTAGTCCTTAGTAGTTAACGCAGAATTAAAGCTTACCTCTAAGTTTCTTTATAAATAGTATAAGTAACACTACTAGTAAGAAGCTAGCTTAAATAAACTTTTTTTTTAGGTTCTTGTTAAGGTATTTTTAAAGCACTTTTAATTTATTTAGTAATATTTTATATAGTAGCCTATAACTAGGTTGTTTACTAGGCTTAAAGGTTATTTAGTAATTATATAAATGTTATATTAAAAGCTTATTAGACTTATCTTAAAAAAAACATGCAACAAGTTATAGTAGTTTTAAGAGACTATTATCTTTAAGTTAGTGTGTTTTTAAAAAGCTAAAGCTTAGTCTATATTAGAAATTATAACTGTGTAGATTTTGTAATCTAGTTGTTAAGCTAGGGTTACAAACAGGGCAGGTTCTATGTAGCAAATGTCTATCTACTGTTTAAGTCCTAGTTTATGTTTAAATTAAGTAAGTAAAGGTTCTTTAAAAGCTTTTTTTTTTTTAAGTTTAAGCAGTTATTAAATTATTTTATGTAGCTTATCTTAGTAAAAGGCCTAGCTTATTAGCCTTACTTAAGTAGTTTTTTTCTAAGTTATTAAGAAGTAAGTCTAAAAACCTTTTATATTAAGTGCTATTTAGGTGTTATTTAGGTGTAAGCATAAGCATACATTTTAGTATTAGAAAAAGTTAAAGTTTAGAACTTACTTTTAGTAATTAAAGGCAACCTTATGCTAATACAGCTATAGTTGTTCTAGAATTAGGTTATAACATTTTATATTTATTATATAAAGTTTAATCTACTTCTTGTAGTGTTAGTAAGTAATTATAATAGTTGTAGTATAAAAAATAGAACCTTTTTTAAGTTATTTTTTATTAAATCTAGTTAGGTAAATTATTTAAGTAAGTAGTGTTAATTAAAGATTTAGTTTATATGCTAGTTCTTTATTAATGTAACCTATGCTATTTACTTTTAAGTTAATAAAAGCTTATATTAAAGCTAATATAGTTTTTTATTATAAATATATAAAAATATTAACTTAGTACTTCTAGTTATTAGTAGAGAACTTAGCCTATAGGTTAGTAAAGATCTAGTGTTAAATTAGTCCTAAGAGGTAACTTAGCCCTAGAACAAGCCTTTTTACAGGCTTCTACTACTATAGCTGCAGCTATGTTAAGAGTAGCAAAAGAGATTAAGGCTTAAATATAAGTTAAAGCCCTTATAAAAATAAGATTAAAATAGTAAAAATTTTTAATAAATACTAGCAGCACTACTTATGTAGACTTAAGAAAAAGAAATAAAGTAGTTTTAAAAGATATAACTATGCTTACTACACTTAAAGTATTAACTTTTTTTTTTATAATTTTTACACTTTTTAAAACTAACTAGAGCATAATTTAAATTAATTTTTATTATATTAGAGTTTTTATTTATAACTGCGCTAGTTTAGGGGTGTATTAGAGCTTATACAGAGAGGAACCTTATGTTATTATTATAAGTAGTAATTAAGTTTACATACGTGTTAAGGTTGTTTAAAAAGGGTTCTTCTACTATAGCGTGTTATAGTTTAGTTAAGAGGGAGTTATATAGGGCTATAATTAAACCTATCTTATTTAGGCCTATATTAGATGCAAGTTAGTAAAACTTAATAAAGTATAAAGTAAAGCTTTTTTTTTTTTATTATAAGGTGTTTAAGTAACTTAGAGCTGTTAATTCTTTATTTAGGTCTCTATAAGTTACTTATAAAAACACTATAAATTAATCTAAGTTAATAATATTTTTATCTATTAGTAAGTTAATTAAGGCTGTTATGTTATAGTTAAGTTAAAAGTAGGCATATAATAACTAAAAGTGTTTAAAGGGGAATTAGTTTACATTTCCTTTAAGTTTATATTAGAGCTTACATAGAAAGAAAAGTAAGTCTTTTTATTTTTTATTAAATAGTAGGGGATTAGGGAGTTAGTTAGATTTTATTACTAAGTTAGAGAGGTTACAAGTTATAGGCAGTGTTAGGTAGGAGAAAGTTAAGCTATCTCTAGACTTCTAGGTAAGCTTTAAAGCTAGTAAGTTCTTAGTTCCTACTACTATAATAAAAGTTAAGGCAGAAATAGACTATTTAATAATATAAAGCTGTTTTTTAAAGTCTTTTTAAAGAGCTTTAAAGCTTACAATGTAGTAGCTTTTTTATAAAGTAAGCGCTTTTTAGAAGGCTTTTTAGCTTGCTTTAATAGCTTAGAGTTATATAAGTACTAAGCTTATTAGATTAGATTTAGAGGCTATTCTTAGCTAAAGTTTTAACATAATGTAATATTATAATTATGCATAAGTAAGGTTATAAAGCTTTACAGAGGTCTAGTTTAATTACTACATAAGGTATTATAGTAAGTATAAGATGTTGTGTAAGAAATAGAAAAGTTTAGAAAAAAATTAGTAATTAAATACTTAGCTTAGATGTCTAAGCGCTTTAGGTATAAATTAAGCTTATTCTAAGTTTAGTTAGTGTTAAGGCAGTTTATGCTTAAGTTTATGTCTGTGTTGTGTTGTGTTTGTGTTAGACGTGCACTAATAATACTCTAGTACGCGTCTAATACGGTTATGTCTGGGATCCGGGGAGGATACCGTGACACGGTGTACACATCGCGCGGGGGGGGGGCCGAGGGGTTGCAGGTAACTGGTGTTGATTCTTCTTGTTCTAATTCTGTGCAAAGGAACGGGGTATTTATCTGTCTATGCATACAACTGTGACACAAGACCATAACACGTGACGCCTAACTGCGTATCTAAATACTACTATTTAGATACTAGCAACTTTTTCTTTTTTCTTTATACAGACCTTACCTAGTCTGCTTTGCTTATACTTATAATATAATACTTTATTTATTATTTTATATAGGCCTGATTTTATTAACTAACGCTTTAACTCTAACAGTTAGTTAGTTATATAAAATTAGTTCTTTAAGAGTAGAGTTTAGCGCCTTCTTTACATAGGCATTTACTAGGTTGTTTTTTCTATTAATCTATTTAATTTCTATAATCTCTCTTTTCTTATATAATTTTTAAATTAATATAATATTAATTATAAGCTTTTTTTTATTTGTTATACTAAGCTTTATAAGACATTTATACAAAAATCTTAAATCTATGCATAATATAATAACTATTAGAGGTAGTCTAAGCATGTATATAATCTAGTTAATTATTATGCTTAGTGTAATTACGCAGTTGAATCCTTCTACTATTCTATACAGTTTACTAGCTAGTATAGAGCAGGTAACATATTTATACTTAAAGAAGTTCTTGTCCGTACGTAAGTACAGCTGAATTAGGTTGCCTGAAACGTTGGCTATCTAGCCTGTGCGTTAGGGGCTATGTGTACTTAAGAGCCCTCTTTCTTTGTACAAAGAGAGAGGGCAGTAGTTAATAACAAGAAGATCTTTACCTGCTCACCTCTTAGTACGCCCTTTAGGCGTACATTTGTTTAATTAAACCTAGGTTAACTAACACTAATTAGTCTGTTAACAGACTATTTACTGCGTGCGTAGCCACGCAAAGGATATTGTTCTTAATAGACAGATTTGCAAGGATTAACAAAACCGCCACTGTACAAGAAGCTCACTCCCACCGCGTGCGTAGCCACGCACAGAGGGCGTGAACAAGCCTTGTGCGCGCCCCTAGATCAACTAATTGCACAAAGACAAGATTAGCAACCCGCCGCGTGCGTAGCCACGCAGAGAGGGCTTACTGCTGAGCCTTTGTGCGCCCTAGAGCCTCCTGTTGATACAGGCTGTGCGACCACTCGCCTACCGCGTACGTAGCCACGCAGAGGAGACAATACAGGCCGCACGATTAGAAACCTACCGCGTGCGTAGCCACGCAGAGGAGGCTCCTCATCAGCAGCCTGCCTTGCCAACATCCACCCCCCCCAGACAACGGCTGTACAAACGCCCCCCTCTCCTGACAGCCGTACGAACAAGCAACCGGCCCCCGCCCCGGAGCCAACCTGCTACTCCGCACAACAGCTCGCTCTTCGAGAGCCACCGTACGGTCAACCACCACCACCACCCAGACAACCGCCGTACAAACGCAACCAGAGATGACCTACGTGTCTAGGACAATACTACCAAAGGAGGTTAACCTTACCCTCCTAGTAGACTGCCTTAACATGTTAACAAATCCCTCCTAAGTATAATAAACCTTGTACGTAGCAGATACCCTTGTCTTTATGTGTACAGAAGGGTACAGTCTGTCTAACTTTGTAGAAGACTTTAAAGGCTAGACATAACAGAATTTTAACAACCTATCTTGTGCGTTTAGGCGAGAGCTCCTCTATGCTCTAGCTAAGCACAGGATCTATCCTGTAGGAAAGAGATGCTGTACGCAGGCTAAAAAGCTAGCAGGTGTTGCGAACTAGCAGTACACTATAGGCCCTGTACAAAGAAGAAGAGGAAAGGATGTAAGGGATAGTATAAAAGGGGATAAAAAACAAAGCAAGGCAGGCAAGCAACTTAATTTATAAAAATAAAAAGTTACTAGTGTCTGTACGTAAGTACAGCTAAATTAGGTTGCCTAAAACATTAGCTATCTAGCCTGTGCGTTAGGGGCTATGTGTACTTAAGAGCTCTCTTTCTTTGTATAAAGAGAGAGGGCAGTAGTTAATAATAAGAAGATCTTTGCCTGCTCACCTCTTAGTACGCCCCTTGGGCGTACGTTCGTTCGATTGAACCTAGGTCAACCGACAGTTCTAGTATATAATATTACTTATAATTTTAAAGTTGTATAAGTTTCTAGTGCGCTGCTTTGTTCTAAAAATAATAAAAAATCTAAGCTATAAACTTAGGTCCTTATTATTTATAAATAATCTATTAGTAAAGATAAACAACTTTATATAAAAAAAAATTAAGTAGTATATATAATAATCCTTAATTCTAGTTATTAATTTACTATTAGATTTATATATTTAATGCTTTAATATTATTATCTAACAGTACTATAACTTAAGTAGTAGTAGATAAGTTAAATGCTACCTTAGGTTAACATACTAACGTAATATAAGCACCTTATGCACGCTATTTTATGTACCTTTGCGTAGCGTTCTTTATGTTTAGGTCTACTGTATAAAGGTTCTTAGCTTATTCTTTTTAAGTTAATAAAATTATAGTTTTATGTTATATAAACTAAATCTTTTCTTTTGTTGAATAGACTCTCTGCTAGCTAGCACTTGGTGTCAGCAAATGCGTACGAGACGGAGAGGTTTGCACGGTGTAAACATCGCACAGGGGTGTTAGGTAACTGGTGTTAATTGCTTCTTGTTGTTTTCTATTGTACAAAGGAAAGGGGTTAATATAGTCTAAAACTCTGCGCACAGATCTCTGTGCACAGGGATCTAGGCGCATCTAAGCCACGTGACTATTAACTAGGCGCCTAAATATTACTATTTAGACATTAGCAACTTTTTCTTTTTCCTTTATACAAGACTTGCTTTGTTTACACATACAGTAGACAGGTTACTGTAGGGCCCTTTTTGCCTATTTTGTACAGGCTTAAGTCTGTTAACTAACGCTTTAACTCTAACAGTTAGTTAGTTATATAAAATTAGTTCCTTAAGAGCAGAGTTTAGCGCCTTCTTTATACAGGCATCTGTAAGGTTATCTTTTCTATTAATCTACCTAATCTTTGTAATCTCTCTTTTCTTGTATAATTCTTAAATTAACATAATATTAATTATAAGTCTTTTCTTATTTGTTGCCCTAAGCTTTATAAGACATTTATATAAAGATCTTAAATCTATGCATAGTACAATAGGTACAGAAGGTATTCTAAGCATACGTGTAATCTAGTTAATAGTTGTACTTAGTGCAATTGCGCAGTTAAATCCTCCTACTATTCTATACAGCTTACTAGCTAGGACAGAGCAGGTAACGCGTTTACACTTAGAGGAGTTCTAGTGTACAATATTACCTATAATTTTAAAGTTATATAAGTTCCTAGTTTACTGCTTAGTTCTAAGAATAATAAAAAAGCTAAGCTGTAAACTTAGGTCCTTGTTGTTTACAAATAATCTGTTAGTAAAAATAAACAACTTTATATAGAAGAGATTAAGTAGTATGTACAATAATCCTTTATTCTAGTTATTAATTTACTATTAGATTTGTACATTTAATGCCTTAATATTATTGTACAACAGTGACATAACTTAAGCAGCAGTAGACAGGTTAAATGCTGCCTTAGGTTAACATATTAATGCGATATAGGCACCTCGCGCGCGCTGTTTAACGTACTTCTGCGCGGCATCCTCTACCTTAGACTCTATTATGTGTAGATTCCTAGCTTAACCTTTCTATGTAAAAATAATATTGTTTTATATAAAGCAGATTTTTCCTTTATTAAATTTAATAGCTTAATTATGCAATAGTATAGTCTTAAGCTTTACTTAAAAGTTAGCTTTAAGCAATTCTTTTTCCTCTCTTTATACAAAATTAGCTGTAATAATACTAAAGGTATTATCTATCTGCAGTTCTATAATACTAAACACTATTAAGCCTTTATGTGTAATTAATAAGCATAGATTATATAATAAGGTTTTTATAAAAAGTCTATCTTTATAATAGTTGTAGTATGTCTTAAACTAATACAAGCCTAACTCTGCTGCGCTATATAGTAGTTATACAACTCTAAATATTATGTGTAAAGGGAAGCTTTTATAGAGTTCTTTTAGTAGTTATATAAAAAGAGTGCAAACAAGCTTATTTATTAATTATATATATGCCTAAGTAATATTGCGTAGTTTATAGTGCATGTTATACAAAGCTATTAGTAATAGGCTAATAGCTAGGATTAACCTCTAACTTATTTTCTAAATTATAGAAAACTGTATAAAGATCTTCTTCTTCTTCTTATCTAAATGTTCTATAAACACAAGTTGTAACTTTTTATATAGTTTTATTAATTTCCCTTTAACTTTATATATAAGTTAAAGGTTAAAAATTTATCCCTTATAGATTAATAGATTGTATAAGAGTACTTTAAACATGCTACTTATAATTAGACTTTTTATTTTTATATAGTCTAATTCTTTAAATAGTCTCCTAGGTGTTATAATTATACTGTCTGCACAGAGCTTAATTGCTAGCGTGTAGTCTTCCTTTTTCTTTTAAGTTAGAAATGTTGTAGCCTGTAGATTCTTATGTAGTCTCCCTTAGCCTTTCTTAGCTAGCTATAGTTCTAGTTCTAGTTTGTACAATAAATCTAATGCTGCTTAAGGGGCTGTTTTGTACAGTCTATTAACTAGGGTTAGTTGCTTACGTAGGCGACCTCTCTTTTATACTTATAGAGGATCCCTTTATACTAGGGCTAGTTTATCTAGATCTAGCAATTCTTATGCAGGTTTATTCTTATCCTTTATATAATAATATAGCATAACTTGTGTGCAGTAGAGTCTTACTAGACTATTCTTTATCTTAATAATAACGTCTAGGGCCTTAATTCCTTTTACTATGTGCAGTCCTGTCTATCCCTTCTTCTTTTACTATGTCTTTACTTTAAAACTAAGTAGAAGATTTAGTACTTTATATAAGGTTAGGCTGTTCTAAGTATTAATTACATAATTAATATTAACTTTTACTCTCTTACTTTAAAGCATCTTTATTACCTTTTGTACAGCGTTAGCTTGCGTGATAATATTAGAGGATAGTGTAGAATTTATGTTAATTCTTAGGTATGTTTTAAACATAAGCAATGTAGGTATAAGACTATTTAGTCCTACTATATTATTTAGGGCTTTAACAGCTATCTGTAACACTAACTTATTGTTTATATAATTATCTAATTCTGCATAGAGGATATTGTACGCACGTTGCAGTAGTGCGTGCGCGCGCTTAATCTTCCCTAGAGCCTAATAGGCCTCTACTAGCATCTGTTAGCACGTTGCTCCTACAATCTTTGCGTAATTCTAGAAGTCTTTAGATACAAAGTTTATACTAGAGTTATGTATAATGTAATTAGGTAGGCCTTAGTACATGTTAATCTAACACTTGCAAAGCATGTCCTAGGTATCTTATGTAGACATTAATTTTAAGAAGGTTGCTGCTTAGAATAATGTATCTATATTAGTTACATGTAGTACGTCTTAGTTGCTAATTTATACAACATTAATTACTATTTTATAGTTAAAGTGCAAGTTGTTTTTAATTATAAACTTAAATCTTTATAGTGCTAGGTTATGTAGCTAACACATGTAGTAGAACTTCTTAATCTTTTTAAGTATAGAGGGATTAATGTTATATCTAGCATTCTTAAGCATTGTGTAAAGTTGTTCTGTATAAGGATAGCTAAATTTTCTATACAGTTGTTAAAGTTTATGTTTAGTAAAGAAGAACATTAATTTCTTCTTTTATATGTTAAAGAATAGATAACTCTATTTTTATACAACTAGGACAGTATTTTTATTGCTTTATATAATTACATTCTGCACATTGTTAAAGTACGCACCTATTTAGTCTACGTCTGCTAGAGACAGTAGGAACAGTGTTAGGGTGTCTAGAATGTAATATGTTATGTTACTAACTAGGTTAGTAATTTATATAGTACTAATAAATTCTATTAATCCTTATTTTTTAAAGCTAATACTTTTTTTTTTTAGTGTCTAGTCTACTTTTGTACAAGGGAATTCTTACAGGTATGCTTTAAGTTGTAACTTCCTTACAGTAGAGATCCTTACTACGCTAGTATCCTATAGTTTACCTTAGTATACTATATAGTATTAATCTTTAAAGATAAACTGTTCTGCGTATCTGTTACAGCCAACGAAACGACCGTAATGACTCAGCTCGCTGTCCCACACAGCCCGGGCGATGTCAGATAGAAGACGCTTAACCCCGTTCTTGATAGACCGTACGACAGGACAGAAGAGGAATGGCGTCACTTGATGGACAAGTGCCTAGGCGAGTGCGTTGTCCAATAGGACCTTGCAGGCTTGCAGGTCCGCAGGCTGCGCAGGCTAGATAAGCCTGCAAGCATGCAAACATGCAAGTATGCAACTATTATGTATATAGTCTTAATCCTAACTATAGTTAGAAGGTTATAATTAACATTTAGTTTA